TCCTTTGTGAGTGTCACCCATGTAGATGAGTCATAGCCATTGCTTGACCAATTTGCTCTCTGTGAAAACCTGAGAGAATATTTTTTCTCCATATGACTCTCCTTAGGCACACTCTACAGCAGTGTTCACTTTCCTCTGTGGCCCCATAATCTCCTTGATCAGAAAATCTGGGACACAACTGAGCTATATGATATTGCAGTACATGTTCTCCCATGTTCTGAATCTTCGCTGACCTTGAAAGGCTAGGGCCAAAATGTTGGCTATCCTTGCAGCCCTTTTTTTTCTCTAATTTTTGGTCTATGAACTTAGGTTGTTAACCATCCAGAAGAGAATCTTATTAATATTACCCTACAACCTAAGCAGTTGAGCTTAACCTCACTATCTGCCTGAATATACTGAAAGCCTATAGAGAAAATAAACAGACCACATTTAAAGGAAAACAGATTGGCACAGTGGATTAGGAAACAAAATCCAACAATCTGCCTGTATACAAGAAATACACTTAACTCATCAAGAAATTCATAGGCTGAAAGTCAAAGATGGAAAACAATACTACACGCCCCAGAACATAAAAAAAAAAAAAAAAAAGCAGGAGTAGCAGTCCTATTCTCAGATAGTCTCAACTTCAAACCAAGAATGATCAAATAAAATGAAGAAGGCCACTATATACTGGTTAAGGTACAAATTCAAGAGGACAAAACTTTTGCATTGAGAAGATGCAAAGTGGCAAATAAGGGTAAGAAACAAAAACAGCAAAGGATGAATGCTTATAATATGCACACTGCTCTCAGAAAGCAATGAAAACACAGACAAGTGGTCCAAAGGAAAAATGGACAAAGCATACAAATAAGTTTTTAGAAGGTGTAAAAGACAAATCAATTTGTGACAGGCAGAAGAATTTTACATATCATGGCTAAAATACATTGAGAATCATGTTTGTATTCTAACTGAAAAAACTGTGATGTGGAGAAAAAGGACACTTTCATACAAAGTGTCAAAAGACAAAACAGTCTTTTCAGAAGGCAAAGGAGTAGCAACAATCAAAATGTAAGAGCAATTAAATATTGAGCCTAGAAATTCCATGCATAAGTTCTATTGTCAGAAATTTTGTTTGTTTACTTAGAGAATTTTACGTAAAAGGGTGTTGACTTCATACTCTACAAATTAGCATTGATTATAGAAATCAAAATGAAAGTTCTCCAAGTCATATTCTAAGGCAAGAATGATACATGCATGCCATAATACTATTCACTTTTAAATACATGTTTCAAATGGAAAACTAAAACCTTATGAATTTTATAAGTTATACACAAAATAACATCTTTTCACACAAACATTTGTGAAAAATGTCAATATTGCCCAAGATCTTGCTAGATAAGATGAAAGAATTCCTTTATACAGTAGAACATTTCACCTGTGAACTTTACGTCTGATGTAACACTTGTGAATTTATTCTCAACCTCACATAACTGAGAACTATTTCGTTCCTCTTTCACAACCCAGCAGTCACTCTTTCCCATTCTGACATTGTCCCCTGAGACTTGACTTTTGATACCGTGGCTTTAGACTAAACATGTCTCACCAAACTTGCTGTGCTGAAATTCTAATCTGCAATGAGGCAATATGAGGAGGTGAGGTTTTTGAAAGCTAACTAGGTCATATTAATGAGACTTAAGTCTGTGGAAGACATATTGCCTTTGTTTTCCTTTGCACCCCAAGAAGACATAGGACAAGACACTGACCATCTGAAAACCAGAATCTGAGCCCCCACCAGACCCCAGATCTGCCAGCACCTTTACCCTGAACTGCCTAGCATTCAGACCTGTGGGAGATAACTGTTACTTCAACCCCCAAATCTAGGAATCTTGTGGTAGCAGCCCAAATTGATGAAGAGAGCTGCTCATCTCTATTCATCCCTACACAAACCTACTATAAATTTACAAAGGATGAAGAAGTATCTGAACTAAATTTGGCTTCTGGAGCCTGTATAACTTGCTACATGACAAAAGAGTGTGTTTTCAAAATAAAATCCATCCCTCCAAAATTTCACTATGGCCTTAATCAAGATAAATGACAATATTCATTTGTTCAAGCAAGTCTAAACCATGAAAGACAAAATAAGACCACTGCAATAAAAATGCACAGATCATCTGCTCAGAAAAATCAGAAGATTCAATGTATTTGAGGTAGCAACCCTTGCCATACTACCTGACAATCAGATTGACTCTTGGTGGGTTTATTTCTTTCTGATTTCTTCAGCATATCTGTATTTTCCAGTTGACTAACTAGCCATTAATGAATAATGATGGAAGGAAAGACTGATTTGCTTTTTTTGCACATGATTTTTAAAGACTGTTTCAGATATTTTCAGGCTATGATCATAACACAGTAAGAAACATATTTGTTCAGTGGCGAAGGATTGAATGTGCGTTCCACTTTGGCAATTACAGCCCTCATGATTTCCATCCTTCCCAAGACATCATTATTACTTTCACATGATTTATGGCTGAAAGTATGAGAGATGGTGCACAGAGCCTATGCCAAATTCCCATATGGCATATAACACAAGCCAAACTGTGAAAAACTCATAAATGTGGGTAGATCAGTTTCATCAAAGAAAGGAATGAGAGGGTTCCAGAGACTGAACAGGAAATTTGCCAGATAATTCTTTACAGTCATGTAATTCCAAGAGGCAGTAATAAAAACTGCCCAGAACACAGAATATGTGAGCCAAGCAGAAGATAGTAAACTAGAAATCAGGTAAAGCCACTATCAGTCAACCTTGTTTATTCTTTGTTAATCCCACTTTTTGTTTGTCTTCTTGAACTAAAACTCAAACTGGTATTACAATGTTTTAAAATAATATCAAATGGGACCAAATGGAAATCCTTCTGAATACTGAAATAACTATAATCCTCATGAAATATTAAGGGAAAATAAGTACGAAGTTATTTTAAAAGATGTTATAAAAATGATATTTTGGGACTAGAGACTTAGCTCAGTAGTAGAATGCTTGCTTAACAAGCTGGAAGCCCTGGGTTCAGTCTTTGGTACCAAAACCAAAAAATAAACCTCAACTAAAAAAGATATTTAAGAGGCAACTGTTTGTCATGCCATAGGTATTTTGACATACATCTCTAAGATTTTAAATTATCTTTGGACATGTTTCCTGAATGCGTTTCAAATATTATTTATTACTGCACAAAAGTAAATTTGATAAAGCTAGCATATTCTGGAATAAGAATTTGAACAAAAATAATTTAAGAACTGTAAAGAAAAATGAACAGGACAATCTGAGAGATGATAACTTGAAGTAAAGGGAAGTCAGAGAGGTTATGAAGACTCAAGATAATGGAAATACTGTTTTAAGGATGATGCATGCAGCAAATAGAAGGATGAGCTGAACAGTAAGTTAAGGTAATATTTTGGACAACTGTGATGACAGCAGAAAAAAATACACACACACATATACACATACACACACATTCTGGCAAGTGTAAAGTTGTGAGTGTAATTCCTGATACATATATATATATATATATATATATATATATATATATGTATAAAAGTGAGGTAACAGAATTATGTGTTAGATGAGATGCTTGGTAGGATGGACTGTACTGAGAAGAGCTTAAATGCCAAGAAGCCCAAGGAGATGAACGTGAAAAGTAATCTAGATGAAAGCAAATTTATCCAGACATTGGAAGAGTAAACAAAGAGACAGGCTGGAATCTTAACAAGTACAAGACCCTGGGTTCAATCTTCAACAATGCAAAAACAAAACAAATCAAAATGGAAAGGATCATGCAAAGCTGATGAGATAATAGAGACAGTAGAATCTTTAAGGTTTGCTTTCTAATTTTTAAAGAGGAATCAAGATTGAAGAAATAGATTTCAAAAATTGTTTACCTTTTATTAGTAAAAGACTCTTCAAGACATAAATTACTAGACAAAGGATGAAAAAGTCCTTCTGGAGTCTGTTCAATGTACTCCCAAAAAGACACCAATTATGTATTAGGTAAGCAGTTATAAATATGGGTCTGTAGCCTAGTATTAATGGAACTACTTGGAATTGGTATTGATAGCAGAAGTCATGGAAATGGCGACATTTCTCAGAGAAGATACAGAAAAATATCTACGATACCCTCTTGGGGTAAAGGCAGACAGGCATGACTGGGATGATAAACGTCTCGCCAAAGCTTCCATACGTACACTTTAGTTACCAACCTGTGGAGATACTAGGTATAACCTTAAGAAGATGGGGCTTAGTGGGAGAAAGTTAGGAGACTAGAGACATGCCCTTCATGAAAATACTGGGATCCCAGCTCCTACCTCCATTGTTTTGCTTCCCAGTCATCATGAGGAAAAGTTTTGCTTTGCCATGTGCTCCCGTCATGACTTCCAGCCCTATGCTAGGCCTAAAAGCAGCACAGCCAACCAACCATGGACTGAAACAGAAAACCATGAGCCAAAGGGAATCCTTCCTGTTCTGAACTTGTTTCTCTCAGGTATTTTGTTACAGCGATGGAAAAGGTGACTATTACAGAGCCTGCAGAAATGCTCAGGAAACTGTCAGGGGACTGAGCAGAGTATAGTACAAGGACACCAAAGATGAAGAGAATTTTAGACTGGTAACAGGAACAAGAGCATCAAACTTTGCAGAAAGAATGAAAAATGATTTAACAATGATTAAAAGCCACATTCTTAGCTGCCTTAATAACTAGGAGATTTTAATGAGTTAAGAGCTCAGTGCCATCTTGTAGAAAGTTTCAGTAGAGCACGGAAGACAGAAATGAGCCTGCACAGAGTTACAGTCTGAGCGAGTGGTTACGAAGCAGAGCAAGGTCTTCTCTAGGTACTCCATTCCATATGCCCTGCCCCAGGTATGCAAAAGCTTCAGTGAAAGATGAACAGTTGAAAATCTTGTCAGCAAAATGGTGAAATAAAAAAGAAAGGAAGGAAGGAAAAGAAAGAAAGAAAGAAAAAAATGAAGTTTTTACCTTCTTGTGATTCTTGTAAACATTTCTGTGAGCAAATCCCTTGCCACAAAGCTTGCATTTGTAAGGCTTGTCTTCACTGTGGATTACTTTGTGGGCTCCCACTTGGTCAAGCCTCTTGAAAGATTTATTACAAATCTCACAATTATAGGGTCGTTTTTCTGTGAAAAATGAGTGAAGACAATCTCATATCCATATAAAGGTAAAGAGGTAAAGGATAAAAAGAGATATGTCCTTACTTTAAACTACTTGTTTTACACAACTAACCTAAAAAGCAATGTCCAACTAAAGCAAAATAGGAAGAAAAAGGTACCAAGCAGCCTGCTTCCGCTGGATATGTATGTCTCCTCACAAATGAAATGTGAGCTCCGTCTCCTACAGACCTATTTTTAAAACTAAAGGTAGCTTTAATAGAAAGAGGTTTAGATTCAAAGAAGAAATCCTATTTCCAGATGAAAAATCTGCTGATGTGTGTGAGTTTAAATCAGGGTCACAGCCGGGAGTACTAAGACAGCTTTGGCAATGAAGGAGGTAAAAGCCAACTCGCCTCCTGCCGGGCCACGCAGGGCCCATACAGGCAGAGTTTCCAGTTGTCAGCAGGAATTAAACACTTAGGCGGGGAAGTCAAAGCCCTATTTATGTAATATTCGTATAATGTTGACAACTGAATTTTAAAAATACTGTGGGAATCAACATCACATATTTGAAATCTCTGATCTTAATTTACTAAAACATCTATATCTATCTCCAAACAATGTGAATATTCAAAAACATTCTGACTTCAATGGCTTCAAATGACAAACATCTTATGTTCTAGGAGACTTTATAAAGCCAAAATTGCTTTCAGAGTTGTTTTTCTCAAATCTGCATAAGTAAAGCAGACGTATTGCTCAAGCTTGTTCAAGATGAAAAGTATGGCTTTAAAACAGTTTCCCAAAACATATTTATAAATTTCTCAATAACATTATTAGCACCATAATTAAGATGTAACAGTATCTAGAAGTATAAACACCGTAAATGTTGAATCTCTGGCAAACATCAAAAGCTCTGCAAACACAATGCATAAAGGTTTGCACTTATCATTCCAGGAGGGGTTTACTGTTTCTTTTTCTTTATTTTTGTATACTTTAATTTCAGAACAAAATAAACAAAAAATAAGATCAAAATACACAACATCCAACTCTGCTGTCAAATTACAGAGGGAATGGGGCTCAAGGCTCTTACTTCCTGCTTTCAACACAGGGCGGGAGAAATTAGTTACTGGGCTCAGCAGAGGGAGAAGTGGGACAGGGTCACTCAGGCTGCTGGAGAGCTGCTGGGACACTACACAGAGCACACAGGTTTCTCACAGTGGGAGCTCCTAATACGCTCCTTCCACCCGGGATGCATCCTCATCCCCTTCAAGGGGAGGGATCTCAGCAGGAACAGCAGCACTGGGCTCCTTTGCAGTTACCTCATCTTCATTGATGCCCAGGCCCAGCTTGATCATGTGGTAGATACACATGGAGTGGGTCTGTGGGTCCTCCAAGGAGAAGCCAGAAGACAACAGCATTGTCTTGAACAGCAGCACCACCAGATCCTTGACAGCCTTGTAATTCTTGTCAGCCTCGGCCTTCTGCCTCAGGGTCTCCACAATGGGGTGCTTGGGGTTGATCTCCAGGTGCTTCTTGGCCAACATGTAGCCCATGTTAGAGTTGTCATGGAGGGCCTAGGCCTTCATGATCCACTCCATGTTGGCTGTCCAGCCACAAGTGCTGGTCACAATACAGCAGGGTAAAGACACAAGCTTGTTGGAGATTGTCACCTTCTCAACATTCTTATCCAGATTTCCTTCATGAGTTTGCACAGGTTCTCAACCTTGGCTTTGCTCTCCTCAATCTTTTCTTCCCCTCCTCATCCTCAGGCTGCACACAGTATTCATTGATAGGCTCGGTCATGTAAACCACCTCAAAGCCCTGTTTCTGCACGTGCTCCACAAAGCCAGAATTGTCCACCTGTTCTTTGCTCTTACCAGTGATGTAGTAGATGGACTCCTGCATCTCCTTCATGTGAGACATGCACTCGGACAGGGATGCCATCTCATTTCCAGACTGAGTGATGTGATAGCATAGTTCAGAAAGGTGCTGCTTATTAGTGGAGACCTCATGGATTCCAAGCTTTAGATTTTTTGAGAATGCCTGATAGAATTTCTTATAGTTCTTTGTCTTCAGCCAACTCAGAGAAGAGCTCAACACATTTTTTAACATTTGTTTTTTTGTGGATGACTTTCAAGATTTTGCTCTGCTGGAGCATTTCTCTGGAGATGTTTAGGGGCAGATCCTCTGAGTCAACCACACCATGGATAAAATTTAGGTACTTGGGGATCAACTCATCACAACTGTCCATGATGAACACACAATGGACATAGCGTTTGATGTTGTTCTTCTTATTCCTGTTCTCAAATAGGTCAAAAGGTGCCTGCCGGGGAATGAATAGCAACACCCTGAATTCCAGCTGACTTTCCACAGAGAAGTGCCTGATGCCAGGTGGTCTTCCTAGTCATTGGTGAGGATTCTGTAGAACTCTCCATGTTCCTCCTGAGTGATGCTATCAGGGTTTCTGGTCCAAATGGGCTTGGTCTTGTTCAGTTCCTCATGATCAATGTATTTCTCCTTAATCTTGGTTTTTTCTTAAGCTTTCCAGTATCATCCTCTTCATCAGAGCCCACATCTTCAATCTTAGGCTTCTCTTCATTATCCTTGTTTTCTTCTTCTTTTTCACCTTTGTCTTCCTCTGTCTCATCATCACTGATTTCCTTCTCTCGTTCTTTCTCCAGATAAAGGGTGATGGGGTAGCCAATGAACTGGGAGTGCTGCTTTACCACTTCTTTGACCCACCTCTCCTCCAAGTACTTTGTTTGGTCTTCTTTGAGATGGAAGATCACCTTGGTGCCTCAACTAATTGGCTCCCCGTGGTCAGTGCAGACAGTGAATGATCCCCCAGCAAAAGACTCCCAGGCGCACTGCTCATCATCATTGTGCTTTGTGATCATGACAACTTTCTTTGCTACCAAATAGGCAGAGTAAAATCCAACACCAAACTGCCCAATCATGGAGATGTCTGCACCAGGCTGAAGAGCTTCCATGAATGCTTTTGTGCCCACTTGGCAATGGTTCCCAAGTTGTTTATGTGGTGAGCCTTGGTCATGCCAATACCTGTGTCCACCAAAATCAGTGTCCACTCCTGAGGGTTATGGATGACGTCAATCTTCAGCTCTTTGCCACTGTCCAACTTGCAAGGGTCTGTCCAGCTCTCATATCGGATCTTGTCCAAGGCATCAGAAGCTTTAGAGATCAACTCCCAAAGGAAAATTTCCTTGTTGGAGTAGAAGGTCTAAATGATGAGAGACATGAGCTGGACATCTCTGCCTGAAATGCAAACGTCTCCACCTCATCCTTCCCATGGTGCATCTCCTCAGGCATCTTGAACACAAAGGGCTGGGATACAAGAGAGCAAATTGGCTTGGACTGTGTCCAACGCACTGCAGAAGAGCTGCGCAGTGGCAACTCGAGAGAGTGGCTTTAATGTTTTTGAAGTGTCTCATTGCGTAATAGAGAATAAAGAAAGAGAGGAGAAGTAACTGATAAATTCAATGGTGATTCTGAGGATTGCTTTTAACTAAATCACCTACCAAATTAAGGAATAGAGAATTAAGTAGCTTGTTCTAAATTTCATATCTAGTTAATAGCCAAGCTACATAGCCAGGGAATCTTGTTACCCTTTCTGATCTCCTGAAAGTAACAGTCATACTTTTGTGTGACTTTAATATATGACGAAGAAGTATTTATTTTACCTGAATGGGTGATCATATGACGTTTCAGCTGATTTGCTGAAATAAATTTCTTCATACATTCTTGACAATCAAATATCTCATGAATCTAGAAAAGATAATACTGACAGTTAAAAAGTTGAAACCAACTAAATTATACAGAGCTCATCCCAAAGTATAAACCTGCAGTGCTACTGCAGTCTGTTCAGATTATCCTACACAAACTAAAAGTGCAACAAGCATAAATTATTTAATAAAACATTACTTAAAAAATTAACAGTCACACTACTTAAATATGCAGTATAGCTGATCTGTTTAGTATATACTACATGGGTGCACTAAAAATTACAGTGTATATATTAACTTTTGTTATGAACAAATTTAGAAATATGTTACCTTCAGGAAGTGATATTCCTTTTGCAGTAGATAATGATATTTTAAATTTAAATGTACCAATGAAGAGTACAATATTAACTGCAAACTAGAAGAGGTATGGTTCTGAAAACATTTCACATGATGAATCATGTGTTGAGTCTATCTTACTGATTATGCAGAAGTCAAACATGATGTAGTTTAGCATTACATGGAAGTTGGATGTGCTCAGAGGACCACAATATTAAAAAAAAAAACAAGGAAGAAGTCCAAAGGATATAAAGTAGAATATCTGTAGGATAAACATATCCAAAATAAAGCATAAGGGATAAAATCAACAGTGATAGTGTTTGGTATTTTTTGCTATATGAGGAGATTAGGCTGCTTTTTCTGAAGGCAAAGTGGATGGGTAAATATGAACTGAATATATTAAACTTTTTTGCTGTAATGGCTATTTTGCTATATGGGTATTTTACATCTCATGTTGCATACCTTATATATAGACAAATAAAATGTATTTTTACAAAACATAAAAGGGGACACTTTTAACAAACAACTAGCTCATATAAATGCTATAATTAAATATGTATTATTGCTTTCTCTCTCAGAGCTGGCATCAGAGAAAGTAGTAATATGAAAAGTAGAAGCCTAAATTATTATCACAAACAATTTGCTCAATTCTCAAAGGAATGTATTAGACTATGTGATAGCAGAAATTTCTATGGTTCTCATAAAGAAGAAGATCACACTGCTGCTGAGGATTCCCAAGTGGTTTAGGTAAAGTCTTGTTTTATGTCAGGCTCAGTGAAGGTTCAACTGGCTCCCAGGAGATGAACCCAGACAAGCAAAGACCCCTGTGGAAGGAGCAAAAACAGTGACCACCCTGCAGAGCAACTGCAGACACACGGAGTTACAGGTACAGATCACCACCCTGACCAGGCAAAGCATGGTCTGTAATGGTCTCCTTGACCTAGGGGGTCAGGACAAGCCTCAAAGCGAGGAAGATGCAGAGGCTCGGGGAGGAGGCTGACCGATCCGAGCCTATAGCAGGGTCTTCTTTTCCCATAAACATGGCAAGTCTAAGGCTACCGATCCTCCTACCTTTCTGCCAAGTATGATGTGAAGTACTGGAAAACTCAGTATGGACAGTAATGAAATGTGGAGAATCAGACAGCACCTGAGAGGTATCAGTCCCCTTAGATCTACCTCTTATCCTCACTGTGATAGGCAGCATGTAATCTTCATTAGGGGATCATGTGAATTCCAGAGATGCTGCTGAGAAATCAATGTGGGCTCAGTGCCACCACCCTAGCAGGAACACAGGGTGAATGCTTGCAGCCTATGGGTGCTAAAGGTGCAGCCTCATCACACAGCAAGGCCTGCACAGGGGCTTGGGCAGAACACTGACATCTGAGGGGCAGCAATGTGAAATGAGATGCTTACTTAAAAACAGTAAGAGTAGATTTTTTTTATATTCTTAAACCCTGCTCTATAATTCATGGCACATAATTTTATAATGACAAACAGATGATAACCCTTCTGAGGGAAAGAAAAATGAAAACTTTCACGTAATTTCTTCAGCACTAAGTTTTTATTGGTATATCAAATGTTTACAAGCACTAAATGATATATAAAGTGTTAACTTAAAATATGGACAGAATACTGATTTGTTCACATTTAACTCTCGGCTTCTGAAACATGGAAGATATTTTAAAGTTGAATTAAATTGACAGTCTCCAAATTATTAAAGCAATAATTTTAATGCACACAGAAGCATGACAAAGCTATTCTCAAAACTCTTAAAGTGGTTCAATAACACAGATGTAAAGTGAAAAAGATAAGAAACAGTACTTAATGCCAAATGTTAAGAATATTCTGTAAAATTTAGTATATGATATTGACTTGGAAGGTAGTATTTTAAAGTTCTAAATTAAATAATGTTTAAGAAGGATCATAATATAGCTTATTATAATAAAGGACAGCATCCACTAATATAAAAATCTGTATTGTACAGTAATTTATTTATTTTTGTGCAGGGTCTCATCACACAGCTCGGACTCATTGTGAGCCTCCTGGTTTCTTCCTCCCTAGTGCTGGGATTACAAGCGTACACCACCACACCCAGACTCCATCACCAGCTCAGCACGCACAGGGGCGGAGCCAGTGCAGCATGCGGTGCCAGGGATTGAACCCCGGCCCCTGTGCTTACCTAAGCAAGTGCTTAGTGCACTGAGGTATATCGCTGGTCCTTGTACAGTAATTTACATTGTGCTAAAGCACCATCTACTGGCAATGTGAAATACTGCAACTAAACTCTACTAGACATTAAGACTCATCTAACTAAAATGTCACAACTGGAGTCATTAAAAGTTGTGTATACATCCAGAAAAAGTAGAATTGACTATACTCTTATGAAGGGAGGCAAGGATTGTGTAACACTAATAATTTACTGCTTTCTGTAACTATCAATAACTCAAAAGCATGAGCAATACCGCCTGTCTTCCATCAATACCATGCACAGTTTCCTTCTATGAAATTTCCTTATTTCCTTCAAGGGAAAAAGATTCTCATATTATAAAAACCAATCAAAACAGGATATTACTCAAGACTATGCACGCCAGCTAATTTTGTTAAATCAGTCTTACTTGTTATACCACCTTAAATTTCAACCACTAAGACTTAAATAGGTCAGGGAAATAAATTATAACATGAAAGAGAACCTCCAGAAAATACCTACTGCAACAGATTTAATAATTTTGTCTCAGATTGGGTTCTTCTTCCTAAGCTAGAAAGGTGATAATGAAAAAATGAGATTTACAAGAAGGAATATCTGGAAAATGATAACTAGTTCAATGTTCCGTTTTCAGAAGTGGAGAAAATCAAGGCCCAATGGTAATGGAAGGTCAGGGATAAAGGGTGAAACAGCCTAACTGCAATTGCAATGCTTATTTCATTATTCTTCAATAAAAGAATCAAAATCACTACAGGATGTAGCCATAGATACGCAAATGTAATTTAACTATCTTGTACGTTATAAACTAAATCCTCAGAACACAGTTGGAGCCACGGGGTTAAAAGTTGTGTCAATTTTAAGTTCCTTTTACTCACTACAGAAGAGATGCATATATGCATACTGAGTGAAAATTCATTTCAGAAAGCACAGAAAAGTCAACTGACTTTCTTTTTTCCCCATAATTTTATTGACAAACAAATAGCAATGAGACAGTTTCAAATCAAATTGGTAGGACAGTTTCAATAATTAACACATTGCATACTCTCTTCCTAGTGGTTAATTGCTGTACAAGATGCGGACATGATATCCTATTTACAAACACCATTAGATCAAATCACTCTATTCATTAAGAGAAGGTAACTATATATCTATCCTAACCACTTTGAATACACAGATACAAAAATGGACATTCATCCGTATACCGTTTTTTTGTTAAGTTCCATTATTTGAATATTATAGGTGTGTAAACTCAGCAAAATATTCAAAAGAGTCCAGTAGCCCATAATAGTATTGGGTCTTCCGCTTGACTGACAATGTCAGAAATTGTTGACCTGAGTCCTCTACAGCTCAACATAACAGTATGGCTTTACTTCTTATATTTCGTTTTTATCCTTTTCTGCTGGATGGCTAAGACCAAGGTAAAGCAGGACCTATGGGGAGTCACATGGACAGAAAACATTCTCTCAGACTTTCACAGAGAGCACACTGGCCAACCAATAGCCATGACTCATACACATGGCTGACACTGAAAAAGGTTCTACAATCTGAGGTACAGGATCTCAGGATAAATCCTGAGGGTACTTCACTGACCTTATCAGACCCAAAACCTACAACTCTTGTTCAATTGACTTTCATTAGTACAATTTTTCTCTTTCCTTATGCATTAATTCATGAAAAAAAGTTTTGAGTTCCTATTCAAAAAGCACAAGAAATAAATTGATCATTTATATCTTTTTTTTTTTTTTCATGTATTTGCTACACGGTCTCACTCCGCAGCTCCGATTCCTAGTGATCCTCCTGTTTTCAGCCTCCCCAGTGCTGAGATTACAGGCGTGCACCACCACGCCCAGTCTCTGCAGCTCAGGGTACCTGGGAGAGGGGCCAGTGCAGCATGTGGTGTGGAGCATCGAACTCTGGCCCCTGCACTTGCTTAAGCAGATGTGTAGTCCACTGAGCTGTCTCACCGGCCCTATACCTTTGTTATAAGTCACAACATGAATATTTTGGAACTTGTCATAGTGTGAACAAAATCTCAATTCTATTTTAATTCTATCTTATGAAATGCTTACTAATGTTGTTTAGCTAACAATTGCCATTGGTTTTTCATCTTAATTTCCACAGTAAAATAATAATATATAACTTTGAATTTTATTTTCTCCTGAATAAGTATTCATCTTTGCTAACAGCACTTGGACCTACAAACTTATGACTCTATACTCTGTCACTGTTAAGAAGCAGAATAAATTAAAATCAAGCTTAACAAAACATACTAGTAATTCAGAATACTATTTTATTGTTGTACCATAATTGAATTCATTTTGCTTGTGTTGGACTAAAGCATATGTACTTTAATAGTCAAAGGCTCCTTCCTAGTACATAGTAAGTACCATAAAAGGTTCGGTATTCTCACTGGTTTCTTTATTCATTGCTTTTCTTGAGCAAATAATAATCGACAAAGTGTGAAACCAGATCAGAATTAAGGGAAGGATTCAGCTAGACACGACACCTGACACTGAGGAAGCATTTCAATTAATTCTGAGTAACAGCAACTTAAAATATCTTTTTACTTTGTTTCCTATTGTCTTACATTCTAGAATATGTCATCATTTACTGGCAAAGCTCTAGCTTAACCATATAAAAAGATAAGGTGAAAGTTTTTATGGCAGACGCTATAAATGACAGGAAGACCTTTTACTGCGATGAAAGTTAAGCTTTATCCTACTAACCTTTCTATGTTCCTGTAGGCTTGACGGTGAGGAACACTTTTTATTGCACACTGAACATATGAGTTTTTTCTTAGTATCTCCTAAAATAGAAGTAAAATACCATCATAAACTAAATGAGACTACTGAGAGGTACAACTGATACAGTGTTTCTACATTTGTAATTTCCTTTTCTTAATTCAGAATCTCACATCCATTTAGACAGATGCAGATATATCCATAAACTCAAGTCAAGAGCAAATTGTATTTCAGACACTTTCCTCTTAAACTTGAGAATCTTGTTTGACATACCACTTTTTACATAAAATAGGCCTTTCACTTTTTCATATACTGACATGGTACTAAAAGAAAAAACGTATTTCCACAAAACTCAAATTAAAGTTAACCATACATGTTTAAGAAAGAAAAAAACAATTCATAAATAATTCATTGATTTTTCTATTCATCCACATTTCAATAAATATTTGATTATTAGCATATTTTATTCTAAATGTAATATTTTATCAACTAGGTTTTCTAATGAGACTTATACATTATTTCTAACACTGGATTTACAAAATCTATGAGCACATGCTGTATTAGATTGAATTAAAGAGAATAATGTAACATCAAACATACTAAAATATTATATTCACAGCACATAATCAACATAAAACCCAATGTTGCCTTGTTATATGATTAAATGGATCAAACTTCATGAAAACTAAACATTTTAAAGTCATAGACGCCAACAAAACTTTTTTAAGATGTGATGCAATAACGTGTCATCTGTACTGTCATAAACAACAACAAAATCATGTTTTCCAGTTCTAATTGATTGATTTCAAATATACATACTAAACATATTGCTGGCCATAGTAGTTGTTACCATTTTAAGGAGTTTTAAAAGGGAAATAATGGAATACAAGACACATATTGTATAAGATTATTTTATAATGAAACAGCCAAAGAATAATATACAAAAAGTACAAGAAATCTGTCCACAGTCTAAAGACCAAAGAATGCAACTGAGGGCCTAGATCCCAAGACCATGCATGAGTCCAGCTGAAAATCCAGAGCTCATAACAGTGCCTCCCACAAGGCCATCTGGAGGCCTACAGCCCACCACAATGTCTAATGCAGGCCCGCGTCACTGGTCTGCAGCGTGAAGGCCCAAAGCTCAATGGCGGAAGCTAGAAAGTCTGAGCCAGCAAGATGAAGGATCTGTGCTAGTAGGTTCAGGGGGTCTGAACTGAAGCCAGGAAGCAATGCTTAAGGTAAGGACCAGAGTTCCATACAAAAGTACAACAGCTGTCATCAGCAACAGTGAGGTCCTGAGCTCCTCTAGCAAGAAAGTCGAGTTCCCATCAAGGACGAGACTGACCTGTGCACCATTTTCCCTCTGGAGCCAGGAAGCAATGCTCAAGAGGAGGACCAGAGCTCCTCCAAAGTGAACCACAGCATCCTCAGGGATAATGAGGTCCCAACCTCCTCCTCCAGTGAGAACAACTAAGTTCATCAGGAAAGACAGCATGACTAGGTCCTCCAGCAAACAGTCCACCAGAACCAGCAGCTTCCAGCAGCTTCTTCATAAAAGTTTCCCCGACAGCCTCGCAACAGATTCTGCCTCTTATGCTGCTGTAAACGATCCTCAGGTGGGCCTCGCATACCCAGCACCACACTGGTCCAGGTGAGCGGGGTGGACCATAGTGGCCACCAGTTAGTAATCACCACAGCAGTGTATACATTTGGGAAGCTAAACCAGAAAGGTTATAAGTTCAAGGCCAGCATGAGACATATATTATTTGAGTTCAAAGCTAGCCTGTACTTCATAGAGAGACCCTGACTTAAAGATAAGAAGAATGGCCAGTCAAATTGCTCAGTGGGTTAAGTGCCTGCAAGCAGGTGCAGGAGCCAGGGGTTCAATTCCCAGGCCTGCCATGCCAGCACCGCTTCCAGGGTGTGCTGAGACAGCAACTGAGACTGGGCGTGGTGGTGCACGCCTGTAATCCCAGCTCTTAGGAGGCTGTAAATAGGCAGATCACTATGAGTCTGATCTAGTAGGGAGACCCTGAACATCCTGTAGACCCTTCCTTGAAATACAGAAAAAAAAAAAGATAAAAAGAAACAGTGAACCAATGTGTTCACCACGAGAGCTCAATAATGACTACGAGGCCACGTCCATTCCTGCTGCTACCTCAATTCCATCGTCTGCAATTCTCTTATTATTTTGAAGCAAACACAAACCAAATAAAAAAAAAAAAGAATTCCAACATGATTTTACTATAAGATTGTGTTTGTCAAAGAAAAATACATTTTTGAAAAACAAATATGAATTGTTTAAGATACTGCAGGTAACAGTGCATGCACTTAATACACTTTTCCTCATGCTAGAATTTCAGTCAAGAAAATTGTCTTGGTGACTGACAAAAAGACTACTGAATAAGAAAATTCTCTTGAGCAAATGAGTATTTGACTGCATATGTCTGTTCTTCAATTCCCTAAAATGTCTATAATGTGCGAAAGACACTGATAAAGAATATTCCCTCTTCCAATTCCCATTACTTGGGTTTGACCCTCTTTGGCCCATAATGTTTAACTGCCCAACCTCATGACAACTGTTCCTTGGGATTGGCTGGGCCTTTCCCACCAGAGAGATCAGGGGAGGAAAAAAGGAAAGGAAGAAGTGGTTCCTCCAAGCACTATTCTCCCTTTGCTCTTGCCCTCCTGCCACTGCCCTTCCAGCCAGTGAAAGGTTATATCCCAGCCCCCCACCCATGTTCTCAAATTTCTCCTCCTCCTCCTCACAACTCTTCCTCTTCATCCTAGAGCTGGAAAATTGTCTTGAAAAAAATGCAGAAAACTCTCAGGACTACTCATCTGAGAATACAGACACATATCATCTCCCTTATACTGTTAGCATTTACAGAAACTAGGCAGGTGAGAAAGACAGAAAATGGCTTGAAGAACTCAATCTTTTCCTTTTCTGTATTTTCCTGTGTAGCCATGAAGTTCACTGCCCTCTACCAGCATTCCTAGGTTCAAGAAAAAAACAGTACCCATGCAAAGCCACAACTAGAACATGTACTGTGTCTGGCTTTCCCACACGCCAGTAAGTCTGATGTACAACTTTCACATGCGACTTTCAAAAGTGCTCTGGGGGCGGGGCTAGGGAGCTAGATGAGTCAACAATGCTTGCACTGGATTGCAGGCACAAGCATTAAAAAAATTCAGGAACATATTATAGCACTTGATGTTGAAGGGAATTTGCACAACCATACGAAACACACAGTCAATTAAGCACACAGGTTACCACACAACATTGCATAAGGATGTTTCTAGGAACTAGTCTAAGAACCTACCTACCATATCTTAGAGTTTCTATGAAAGATTAAGACCCTCGTTTAAATACTCAAGTCTCGTTTATTTGCATCTTTGTACCACTTAAAAGGGAAATTTGTCATCGTAAGTAGAAGCTGAAAGACCTTCTATTTCTTTGGATACCTTTGTCCTTTTATAATTAAAGAATCCTGCAACCAGATATGCAAGTGCTGCTTTGCTTGGTACTCTCTGTAGGATACACTCTCCCCTCAAGCATATGCACAGTTCCCGGCAAGGAGGGCCAAAGAGACCATGAGTGAGAAACTGGAATCACGCACCAAGTCCAGAAGAACTCCAGTATGTAGAGTGACTTTTGGTTAAAATACAAGAGCTCAGATTTTACATGATCTGCAACATAGAAAAAAATAACAAAATTTCCTTTCATAAATTATTTCCTACAGATCACCATGAATTTCCAGACTCTGTAATATCAGAATATCCAAGGCCAATTACAAGGAGCCTCAAAATGTATGCTTATAGCACAGCATGACAACCACATAGCCAGCAACAGGAATGCAAAAGTTTCCAGAGTTCCAGTATGCATCTGGTTTTCTACTTAGTCTAGCAAAGTTAACTTTAAAACTGACATGAAAATTTTGTTACAATATATTACAGACACAGAGAAAATTAAAAGCAGCACTTTAATAGTAATTTTTTTTAATATATCTAGTACAGTGTCTACAGGGTCTCACTACATAGATCGGATTCATAGTGATCCTTCTGTTTTCAGCCTCCCAAGCTCTGGGATTACAGGTGAGCGCCACCACGCCCAGGCTCCATCACTGTCTCAGTGCACCCTGGGGACAGGGCTGGCATGGCATGCAGGGAGGGGATTGAACTCTGGACACTGCTCTCTGCCAAAGCAGGCACTTTAGTCCACTGAGCTATCTGGCCAGCCCAAGATAGGTATTTTTTTTAATAAAATAATGATCTATGAATGCAAGCCTATCAAAAAATGATGTTTGTCTTTTGGAATCATAGGAAAATGTCCTTTTCTATATTAACTATCCATTCTTCAAAAAGAAAAGCAGAAAACCACAGTGTAAAGTCCCAAGGAAAAACACCAACCTGGAGATGCATCACACGAGACTCCCTCCCACCACCCAGGGCTTTCAAAAGCCCAAAGCAACACTGCAGATTTGGAGCCAGCAGCTGGCTCATGCTGGCCACCTCTATGACTATAAAGCGATACTTCTGGAATGATGAGCAAGCACTGGAAGAAATGCTGCACTGATACCATTTCACAAAAGTGTGCGAATAAAGAAGGGAGAAAAAGACCCCACTTTCCCCCAATTCACATACACAATGCTACAAACCTCCCAGAAGCCAAGGGCTAGTGATATATGCAAGAACAATGCATGTACACAGGACACAGGAGTTCAGCTAGCTTCAGCGCCTTCTGAAGAAAAGATGCTAAGTAAGAGGCTCACTGTGAGATACAGTTCGGGGCTCAAGCCACTGCAAAATGTTCAGTCACTATACCAGAACACATCTGCTGATTGCTACAAAGTGCTAAGCAGATCAAAGCTAAGTGACAAGCAAATTTTATATTTGTTCCATTGTTTGACTAGCCATGAGAAGGAATGTGAATGGCATTTGCTTTATTAATCAAAATACCTTTGATTCTCATCTCAAAATGTAGTTATGGGCTGGTCCAAAGTAGTGAGTTATCTCCATTGCTGGTTCAAACTGTAGTTAGGAATTTTCTCAATAATGAAAAAATGTGAGCATTTAAAGATTGAATATTTCTGTTTAAACATTTTTAAGGCATAAGAGCATCACTTAGTTTCAAAATATATCTGTAACTGTAGATCTCAACAATTTATCAAAGAAAAAATTGATATGCTATTATTAAAAAGTATTATTTTTGATTAACCTGACTACCAATCACAACCAGACTCAAATTCAGGATTACAATTCTGACTAATTCAAAGATAAGAAAACTAACAAGTGATCTCAGAAATGTACTTGAAAATGAAACAGTGTTCGGTGAAGGAAAGCAATCCACATCTGTGTGAAACATACCGGAACAGTCAGCTTTTCCCCAAGAGTGAGAATTTAAAACAGATCGCTGTGTCCTGGGGAAAGGAAACCCTTTTAAAAGTGACCTTCCAATGACTCCTCACCAGTGTGGACATTTTCCTGGTGTCTTTTCAGGGCATCCCCACTCTTCAACCTCTTCCCACAGCTGTCAGCCTTGCACACGAACCTGGCATCCCCCCGGCAGGTCTCTTGGTGCTGCTCAAAACTACAAGACAAACAGCCAACGCAGACAGGGTGAAGAAGTGCTGCAGTCGCCCTATGAAAGTCCAACATATGGCAGGCTTTTGTAACACATGCTCCCTACTAGAGCTTCAGGGTCATTCCATGCATTACCTATGCAGGTAAGAAAGAAAAGCATTTAAATCCTTTAATTTAATTAGTATAATCTTAAGTCGTTACCAAGCATGAAATTGTGCATGCAAAAAAATGACCCACAATTATATAACAGCCATCTCATAACTCAGACACAAAACCTCAATGCTGAACTGAAGGAGGAATTGCAAAAAGAGCACTGAAAACTCCGTGAAGAATCCTTCCGACTGCTTTGCGCTGTGCACTGAAGACCACTAAGGGGAAATAGAGGGACAAAGACAGTAACAGAAACTGGAACTCTGATAAAACAATGTATGAAAATGCTGACTTTGAGTAAAATTATATTCACGATGTTTTCTCTCTTTTTTTTTTCCTTTAAAGGTTTTTTTAAAAGTATACCTTATTTAAGCTCTAATTCAGCAAGTGTGTTTTTCATGTGGATTATAGAATGCTAAATGCAGTAAAAGCTGACTAGAATGCAAGTTTTTACTATGTTTGCAGAAAAGCAAATGGTCCCTTCCTTGGTGACTTCAGCTTCCAGGCTTCACTTTTTCTCAGCACGTGCTTGCAGCATGGCATGATGGGGATCCCACGCAGAGCTGGGCCCTGCACCTAACACGTCTGCCTTCCTTTGCATCCTCTTCGTCCCCTCCCTCCTCCACCTCGGGATGGCCTTCTCGTCTGTAAAAGGTCTGTCTCTCTACCTCTAGTTGTCTTTTCTTTGGCTCTTAATTTATATTTTGAGTTTCTCACATAAGAAAAACCATGCGATGTCTAATCTTGTGCATTAGATCTATTTCATTTAATGTTACGATCTCAAGGCACATCCATTTTCCTATGAGAGAAATCTTTCTTCCTTTTACAATGAAGTTGTACTCCGTTATGTAAAAATACAGTATTTTCTTAATCTACTGGTCTGCTGATAGACATATATACTGCTTCCGAAGTTTATGTATTATGAAGTGTATTGCTATGAACATAGGTGGTTTATTTAAGAGCAACTCTAACAGAACCTCTTAATGTCTAATTTGTTATTTTTGTTTTAATTTTTTTATTTTTTAATTATTTTGCATAGCCGGGAATTGAACTCAGGCCCTTGCGCTTGCCAGGGAAGCGCTTATTCTACTGAGCCATCTCCCTGGCCCCTGTTTTAATTTTTAAACACTAAGTTTAAGGAGAAAGTTATATTCTCAAATGTTATAAGCACTACAGATACGCAATATATAAGGAAATATATATCATTATATATATTTTTCAAATATATAGCGCTATATATGTGTGCTGTATATACTACACACAGTGTCATACATAGAGTGCTACGTAGTGGTATATGCTGCATACGCACTATATATAATGCTACATATGCATATACATATATAACACTATGTGTATATATAGAAATAATCCTAACATAGAAATCACCTTAGAACTTTAATGAAACAAAAAATAATATTAAACCTATGTTAAAGATTTCCTCATTCATATGTGATGTTATTCCGTTAAATATAACTCATGTTCACTTTAAACAATTCATGCTTCTGTAAAATATTTAAATAAAAGGACGACATATTGTTAATATTGGTAGTTATACAATAACAGCTTCAGGGCTGTGTGTAATATCATTTGACTCATCATATTATCATATCTTGTATTTAATTACTCCTCCGAAGTTACTGTGAAGTAAACATTTCTTTCCAAAATGTCTTCATATTCTTCATACATTGAATTTTCTCCATTTCTTAAAATTTTACCTCAGAGGGAATATCAAACGACGACAATCGAAATTTAGGATATAACATCTCAAAGCATGGGCTAAATTATGTGTATCTGAATTTCAGGTTAGGAAATCAATGAAGTTGATATTGAATGGCAAGTTAATACATGGACAAAAACTGATTAGCATATAACAATTACCTTGTACCTTCATAAACAGAATATTTAAGAAAACGATAGATCTCTCTCTCTCTCTCTCTCTCTCTCTCTCTCTCTCTCTCTCTCTCCCCCCGTCTCACGTAAACACACACACACACACACACACACACACACACACACACAGATTAACAAGTATCAGTCCAGACTAATGGAACACTTGAAGTGTTAGTTAGTCATACTATCAGAGATATTTTTTAATGTACGCACTGTCTTTGCAAAGCCTGCTTAACTGGGAACTTCTTCCCGCAGTTCTTGCACTTAAATTCCTTCTCCTCTGTGGGCTTCTGGTGCAGCGTCTGGAGATGCTCAGCAAGAATGTCCTCGCTGGTGAAGCTTGAGTCACACTGTGGGCAGGCATAGTCCTCTGCACAGCAGAGGGCATCTGAATGGGATGAGGAAACACTGTCACAAGGTGGAAGTTCAGAGCCAAGAGCTATTAGATGCGCCTTTGTCTTAAAACCAAATTCACTGTTCTGTGGAGAAATTTTTTTTTTGTATGACTGTAAAATGTCCACAAAACAATAACAGGAAGTGGCACTATAGAGACAAGCTATTTTTAAAATCTTTTACTTGGGTTTTACTGATTTAATGTAAAACCAAATTCAATTTTTAAATTATTGCAGACAAAGGGTTATTTTATAGATTGAATTGCAAAACGCAAGTTTTTCCACAAGTGGTTCATCTTTCCTTCACACTTTGGTTCACAAGAAGAAAAATCCAACTGAAGCAAAGTTTTAAATTACCAAAGCTGACATGTGTGTGAAAAAGACCAAAATCATTAAAGAAAAAAAAAGAAAAGAAAAGAAAAGAAAAGAAAAGAAAAGAAAAGAAAAGAAAAAAGAACACTGTGTTGACTCCAGCAGATGGAGCGAGTGAAGCTTGGCTGTCCTGAAATGGGCGAAGAGAGATCTGCCCAAATTCCTCCATGTGCTATTAAAATTACAGGTACATTTTCTGGCTACTGTCTAGAATTGCATTTAGAAAATAAAAATCACCAATAGACCTACCTTCCAGAGACAATGCTATCCTTCCAAGCATGACTTACCTTACGTACATGCAGTATTTACACAGTCTAGGAAAAACTAGTTTATGATCACACTTCATACACATTTTCACATGTTCTCTTTTCTTCCACCTAACATCTCAAGTCAACATTTTAAAACTAAACACATTATAATTGATTCAATCAAACTTTCAAGTGTTAGAGATCCAAGTGACTTCTTTGTTTCTTTTGCAGGAGTTTTTGTTTCTTTGCTTTCATAAATGAGTCTAAGAATTCTAAAACAAAAGGCTGGGAATACAGCTCAGTGGCACAGCGCCCTCCTGGCAAGCGCAAGGTCATGAGTTTGATCCCTAGTACCAAAAAAGGAAAAAAAAATAAAGAATTCTAAAACAAAATAATAAAATACAAGTATCAGGTTGATATGTCTGAAAAAAAATTTTTTTTTAGCATTCTGTGAATTCTGTTTATAAAACTTAATGAAACCTGCTATTTTGATAACAAAACAGGTATCAGGTCATGAAAAGATAAATAGGAATATTTTATTTATAAATTTAAGAAATGAACATGATAAGAAATCCTAAATGTGACAGAGAAAAAATAAATAGCCAAAAAAAAATTAGTGCACAAATAAACATCATCACCCAAAATTTGATGTTCTGAACAAGAAGATGTATATTTAAAAAACATCATAGACTGAGCCTGTTCTTCTTTGTTCTTAAATAACCTAATTAAAATATAGTCAGGCTTTTAAAAAATATTTATTTATTTATTTATGTATTTATTTTAGTACTGGGGATCAAACTCAGGACCTTGTGCTTGCCAGGGAGGTGCTTATGCCACTGAGCTATCTCTCCAGCCCCTAATTGAAACACAGAAATAGACATAGTCTAGCAAGGGGAACAGAACGCTCAGCCTTTCTAGCCAATGGCATAGGGCTGGAATTGGAAACTCCTATGAAAGGCCTTACTCTCACACCAACTATGAAAACCAGTGCCTCCTCAGAAGTGACAATGCTTTAAAAAATGGAAAAATACTATACAGTAAGTATCAGCTGCTGGGGTCTGAATGTCTGTGGCCCCCTAACTGCACATACTGCAATGTGACCCCATGGAATAACACTAAAGGGGCCTCTCAGGCCTTTGCCCTCATGAGTGGTATGGGCATCCTATAAGAAGATTCAAGGAAGTTTGTTGGCCTTGCTGCCCTAAGAAGACGAAGGCAGAAGTGTCCTTGGTGGGGAAAGGACCCTCACCAGATACCACGTCTACTGGTGCCCTGACTTTGGACTTCCCTGGCTCTAGTAAATGCAGTGAATACATTTCCATTTTTCATAAATTACTCAGTCCAACCCAAGTGGACCAAGACACAACTTGCCATGAAACGTGAATATCTATGAACATCATTCACATTTCCCTCACACTTCCTTCTGACATAAAACTCGAACAACACACGCTCTAATCCTAACTCTCCTCCAGCAGCTGACAAGCGTGATATCCATCTCCTAGATTGCAGGACTGGCTGAAGTAAGGCTGACCTATGTTCAGCACAAGTCACTGGTCATCAAATTAAGACAAAGCAGCCATCCCGCAGTCTTCTGTGATCAGAACAAAAAGAGAATCCGGGAAGTTCAGGATTCCCAAATGACTGCAAACAAGAGTGAGGCTCAGGACTAGGTCCTCTTGGATCCAGCAGGGTCCTCCTGCACACTTTTTCTCTGCACTCATTGTTTCCCACGGGCAAAGGAGAAACTAAACTCTTAAGTTCTGGGAAAGGGACGTATTCCGTGCTTTCAGACTAAGCAGATCATAAGCAATCACAAAGCTCCATCCCCTTCTTTGACAATGCTCTATTATAATGCAAATATAATGCACAGAGTTCAAACTGTATTTCTTCTACAGCTTTTATGCTTTTAGACACCAATTAAAGCTGTAATACCTTTTATGCCAGCTGCTGATTGCCCCTGAGAATTTTCATCTTCCCCTTCTTTGACCACTGTCACAATCTGCTGCTCCTCCTCCTCCTCCGCCTCCATGTCACTGTCCAAGTAGCCGATCAGAAGCTCTGTATCTGTTTCTATATCTTCCACTGCCAAGTAGAAAATGTTTTCGCCTTCCTGAAACAAGCACACAAACTAATGAGCCAGGCGTTAGTTTCTGGCAGGCACTAAGAAACCATTGTAAGATGCATTAAGCGAGTGTCACGTGCCTGTGGGAAGTTACTATTGCAATTTTTACATCCCCACCTGATCTAGATGCTGAAAGTGGAAAGTGAAACTGTTCAGTCACTTGGAAATTAAACACAAACATGTCTACCAGAAAAAGTGAATTTATGTATGCAAATGAAGTAAGAATAATGATACGACTATGTTGAAGTGAATTCCGCAACGGTAGCTGGCTTTCAGCAAGTAGCACTTTGCAAGTCCATAAATGTGCTGTCAGGCAGTGTTGTCACTGACACACCTAGGCAGACAGGAATGAGCCTTCAATGATTTCATTAGGACAGACATTAAGAGCAAGACAAATAGAGAAAGAAACCCTTCAAATTCCAACACAGACCAGAAGAACTGCAAGTAAAGCCTTCTTGAAGTTTCTTTTTTATTAACATATGCTTGTGATATGTTGCTCTTGAATCACACTCTTCTAGAGGAACCAGTATAAACACATATACGTCTTAGTCATGTTTACCCCTTTCCCCATTTGCCCTCCTCACTCCCTCCTTCCTTAGCTCACTTTTCCCATCTCCACAAAGTCTACCTCCTTGTTTCCTACCATTTGTCTTTATTTTGCTCTTGCTTTTACATTATTTGTATTTGAGGTCTCTCATTAGAGAAAGCACACAGCATTTACCCTGAGTATGACTGATTTTATTTTGTATTATGGTCCAAAGGTGTATCTACTTTCCTACAAATGACTCAAATTTATGCTTCTTTATAGTGTAGGTACGCATCGCATTTCCTTCTTCCACCCACTTAGTGATGGGCCGTTAAGCCAGGCTCATGATCTAGCTGCTATGAGTTGTGCTATTGTAAGTCCGAGCGTGCATGGACCACTACACTGAGAGGACCCTGACTCTTGAAGGAGATACTCAGCCGTTTAACTCAGCCAAGCACAATTCCTATCTTTACTGAATTTCTGAGGAATTTCCATAATGATTTCTACAGAACTCATACTAGTTTACATTCCCAATAGTGTCATAGGGTTCCTTTCTCCTGTCAGTTCTGGAAGCATTTGCTGTTTTGAGTCAGTCCTTAATGATGGTCATTCTTATTGGAGTAAGGCCATCTCAGAGTTGTTCTGATTTACATTTCTCCAATGGCCAGGGATTTTTAACATTTTTACATACTTATTGGCCATTTGTAGCTCTTCTTCTTATGTGTCTATTTTGGTTACGCATCTTTTTTTTCCGGAACCAGGGATTGAACTCAGGCCCTTGTGCTTGCCAGCCAAGCGCTTATTCTACTGAGCCATCTCCCTGACCCTTAGTTGAGCATTTTTAACAGGGTCTTTTATATTGAGGGAATCTTCATTTTTCTGAGTTCTTTATATTTTCTTGATAATAATCCTTTGTCAGGAGCATTGGTAATTTCTTTTTTCACTTTCTGTAGATTGCCTCTTTGCTCTGTTGGTTGTTTCCTTTGCCGTGGAGAGGTTTTTCAATTTAATGTAAACTCATTTGTAGATTTTTTTCAAATAACTTTTCTTTGAAGAATTTAAAAGAATCTGGACTACAAATAGTAGCAGGACTAGACCTCTGAGAGGTTTGGCATATTGACTGAGCCACCACATATGCCTCACCTTTTGTCCTCCCTAAGTCCCACTGAAATTACAGAATATCAGCACAGCAATCTTCTTAGACAATTCTAGAAGACAGAAATCAGACATGATTGAAATGGTAAGGAATGACAGGAAACCTCAGCTAGTAACAGCCACAGAAGAAGAATGCTGCAAAAACGAAATCCCAGAGAAACTTTATACTTGGAATCAACTGGTACAAAATGCCTCAGGGACTGAGGCCAAGCCAATCACCAAGGAAGCCAGAAAAGAAGCTGCATAGCTGGCTGTGCCAGGAGAAAGGACCCAGACTCTGCCTCCTTTACAAAGTCGAGCGATTGTTTGGGGACAGTTCTTAACTTGGCTACCACGGATAAACAGAAGCAAAGCAGAGTCTGAATTTATTGAACCTTCATGGTGGGCAAAGTGAGAAAAGGACAAAGAAAATAAGCTCCACTCCAAGAGTGAAAACCAGGAAAGCACAGCGTGCAGAGCCAGTGCCTTCTTTCCTCTGGCAATAGGCTAAGCACTTAAGGAGTAGCACAAAAGGAAAGAGGTAGGAAGGGAGAGGGAAGGGCAGGAGAAAGGAGAGGTGTGTGCAGGGCATGCACAAACCTGCACACATGTGCGCAGATGCAGAACTCTACAAAACCTGAAGAATGTGCATCCAATTGGTTACATAGCTATTCTGAAGATGAAAGGATATTCTACACCCAATGTTGCTTTAACTTGTATTTTTACATACAGAGATGACTTTGTAATTTCGATAACAAGTACACAGGGCTGGCCAAATAGCGAGGCGGATTAAAGCACCTGCAAGCAGGGGCCAGGGCCAGTGCCTGCTCCGCTCGCAGGGCGCGCTGAGATGGCAATCCAGACTAGGTGTAGTGGCGTGCACCTGTAATCCCCCAGTTCCTGGGAGGCTGTAAACAGGCGGATGGATCACTACGAGTCTGATCATCTGATCTAGTAGTGAGACTCTGAACACCCTGTAGACCCTTCCCGAAAAATACAAAAAAAAAAAAAAAAAAAAAAGGTGAGTCTGATTCAACAGGGCCAGTGTTCTTATGAAAAAGAGACTCCTAACACTGGGTCATAGAAAATTCCATTACATTAGCAAATTGAATTGAAGAGTAGGAAATTATTTTTATAATCATACAATACTGGGTAATTTCAAGGCCCCAAGGAA